AAATCCCTCTCTCTGTCTCACCTGTTCTCCTTCCCAGGTTCTCATTGCTTCCAAACCCCCTCAATCCTCACTACCTCCACTACCCCCTACTTCTATAATTTTGACCCTGCAGACGAACCCCCTCCATACAGGTCTCCTCCTCCTGTAACTCCCTCTGCTCCCCAACCCCCTCAGTTAACTCCGTCGCCATCTTCCACTTCTCCTAGTCAGCCTGTTCTCCCTCCTGCCTCCTCCTCCCCTGTTTCTTCCAGTCCCACCTCGCCTGCGGGATTGCCGCTCACCCAGGAGTCCCACCAAGCTGTGCCCAAAATGTAAAACAATGGGACATTGGGGCTCTGACTGTCCACTCACCCGAAGGGGAGACTGGCCTAACAAGCCCCAGCCATCCCGGGCACCTCAAACACCTCTGGTGGGACTGGCTGAAGAGGAAGAGGACTGACGGGGCCCTAGCTCCTTCCCAACCATGACCATCACAAAAAGCAAGCCCAGGGTAACTATTGTTGTGGATGGCCGACCCGTCTCTTTCCTCCTGGACACAGGAGCCACTTTCTCAGTCTTAAAGGAGTTTCGGGGCCCAACCACACTTAACCTCTCTCCTATAATCGGGGTAGGAGGAAAATATATATACCCCCGCAGAACACCTCCACTAACTTGCCATATTGAAGGTGTTCCCTCTCCTTTTTCCCACTCATTTCTGGTCATGCCTCAATGCCCCATTCTCTTATTGGGTCGAGACAATCTCGCTCGGCTACATGTTTCCATTTCCATATTCCCCNCTAGTCAGCCTGTTCTCCCTCCTGCCTCCTCCTCCCCTGTTTCTTCCAGTCCCACCTCGCCCCCATTTCCTGTCCCTCAACCCCCACAAGCAGCTTCACCGCCATCTTCTCTCGCCCCATCATTTCCTCCGCCACCATCTTTTGTCCCGCCATTTCCTAGCCCCACCTTGCCATCTTATTCCCTGCCGACTCCCTATTCCCTGCTGACTCCCATTTCACCTGCCCTGGTGCCTTCCTTTAGCCCCCCTGTAACTCGGTCCCAGGGACTCCTCCCTTCCACTACCATGGCTCCTCACCACGAAGTAGCTGGTGCCGAGGGGGTTGTTAGGGTACATGTTCCCTTTTCATTAGCCGATCTCACCCAGCTAGAAAAGAGGTTAGGGTCCTTCACCACCGACACCTCTAGTTACATTAAAGAATTCCAACGGGTCCTTCAGGCATACAGTCTCACCCATCATGACATCTATATGCTCCTGGCCAACACCCT